ATGGTTTGAAAGAGTCTAGTCCTGAGAAACTTGATAAAAGTAACATAACTTCTGTTGTGGAGTAAGGAAGCAACCTCTGAGAAGATGACAGTAGCATTGTAACATGTAGTTAGATTTATTATTTTTGTTTTTAAGCTAGGGTAATGAAGTTTGACCTTATTTGTCTAGAAGTCAAGGCTAAGACATTGTCATCACTAGGCAGAACAGTACAATAGATGTATTTTTCATTTTTTCAAGTTCAGGAAGACAGGATGTGTACCAGCAGAGTTGTAGTAAAAGTTTACTTTTACTATAGTATGCTTAATAAAATTAATCCATACTATAAGACTTTAAGTATTATTATAAAGAGGATGAACTTGCTATATTAAGTTTTACTTGCTTCACTACTTTAAGCTGCTTTGAGAATCCATCTTCAGTTGTGTTTACAACAATTACCCAAAGTATTTTTTAAGTCCAGCACATATGATGTTAATCATCAGTGGTTATTGAAGTATTTTCTTGTTACTTTGGGTATTTGTAGAAGATATCTTAATCCATTGTTTTGATATTCCATAATTTCTTAATCATAGCATATCAAATAATATGCTCAGTTTTAATTACATAAGTTATAACCTGATAACACTTTATCACATTAGTAAATGCCACAATGATTTGAAAAAATTACTTATGCTACACTACTAAAATTTAAGTGGCGATGTCAGGAAATGCTTCCTTCAGTCATAAGGTTACTTTTAATCAACTGTGCAGCAGAGTTTTAGCTAAAGCTAAAAAAAATTTTTTTTTTCATGTTATAAAACTCAATAAGTACGTATTTGACTATGCTAAGACATACATGGCTTTATTCTTCATCCTTGTTCTCAGTCACTGTGAGCTTCCCCAGATACGTGTGCCTTATCTGTTTTGCTGCTGCCACATCAGTCCACCAGTATCCTCGTGCCCATTTCTTTACACTGTCTCTGGTGGCCCCAATGGGATCCCGTCTGTTGGCACCTCCAGGAGCTACTAGGGAAGTGTAGGATGTAAAAATATCCTGAGAGTCGGAGTGGAAGATGGAAAGAACAAAAGTCATGGACTGTCTTGTGCTGCAGTGTAGGGGTTCTCTCCCACCCTCCAGGCTTTTCTCAGTCCCCAGCATGCTTTCTTGCTCTATTCCCTCAATATCTTTCAGGCCTATCAATTGGCATTCATTCTCTTAAGACCTGAGAACAGGTTTAATTGCTTTAAAAATTATTAGTAGTTGTGACTCTAAGTAGAAAAACTGTTTATTGATTAACAACTATTGTCTTGCTTTCTTCAATTTAAGTTCTATGCTATCAGTTGCCTATTTTGATCTCTGGGATCATAGTCATCCTTCACATGCTCTTGAAGATAACACTTAACAGATTTGAGATTTTTCTCTCTTCAGGAGTAGCTATTTTGTGGAAAAAACCTCCACAACCTTACACCCCTCTCCCTTCCTCCCCACAACAATTTTAACTATATAATTGTCAACCTGAGTTTTTCTTAATCTGATCTGAATTCTTAATCTTTTTTGTTGAATAGGTTTAACAAGTAACCTGTTAACTGTTCTGTTGAGTTTTATTTAAGGAATTCAGATTACACTTGTTCTGAATCTTCAAGATGTATGGATTATCCTGTTTAATCTGCTTTTAGTGGAATAATAGAAAATTTCACAATTGCTGTGTAATAATCACCTTGTTTCTTTAATTCTTTCCTTGTTCATTATATAGATTAAATTGACCAGAGATAGAAATTTTATCACTGCTGTGGCAAGTATGTAAACAAGAATTATCTTGATGTATATATGCATATACATCTTGGCAAAATCTGGGTCTTGGTTGAATGGAGAGAGGTTAGCCAAGACAATATATCTGAAAGCATTCCAGCCACTACCAAGTGGCTAATCTTTCCTCTAGTCTTACCCTAACAGCTATGAGAATTTGGACAATAAGGTGTGTGTGTGTATGCATTACACTGACAATAGAGAGGGTATAAGTTAAAATGCTGGTGCCAGGGATGCATTCAGTTATATTGTCCACTGTCTATGTCTTGTTTTAGAAAATGAGATTGTACAAAGATAGCTTAATTTAAAATAGTAAAGAAGCAGTGCTAGTCTGGAAAAATCTTGGATTGCTTGGCTTAGGCAAAATTACAGGCCTCTTCTACATTTGGAAAAATCAGACTGCAATTCAGCATGCACACAGCTCTAATGAGAGCAAAGAGCTAGCTATATTACTGAGAACAGGCAAAACCCATAGGGAAATGCTTTCACCTCAGTTGTGTGCCTGGGTCCCCATTTGACTGCTGTAGATAATGCCTAAGGAGTCATATAATTACAGACTATAGTTCTGCAATGACAAGAGCGTTAATGTGTAAGATGCTGCCTGAGAAGGTTCACAAGTAATTGCCCATCATTGGATTTTTTGAGTCATTCTATCAGTTAAATCTGTCGAAATCTGAATCTTGTTTAAGCTACTACTTCATAAATAAATATATTTATTTAACTTATAGTTACCAGATATGTTGCTAAGTCTGTAATGAGCTAGCATTTACAGTACTGAATTAATCCTGAATCGCTGTTTTCAGAAACTCAGTTAATAATCCTGCTGTTACTTACAGCTTGCTTAGTGACTCTATCACTGAAAATGGAATATGCTGCTAAGGGTCAGAGGGTCACCTCTGAGATCAGCCCAGGTTGCTCAGGGCTTTGTGCACTTGGATCTGGAAAACTTCCAAGGAAGGAGACTGAACAAGTTCTTTGGGCAGCCAGTGCCACTGCCTACCGCCCTCCTGGGGAAAAAGTTTCTCCTTGCATCTAGCTGGAAGCTCTCTTTATGGTGCACTTAAGAGGAGTAAAAGTTAAAAAAATAAATGCTACTTTAGGTATTTGAAGATCGAGATGAGTAGGGGTTATTTTCCTACCTAAGGAGTTGATTGAATCCAATATTCTCCCCATTGATCTAAGAAAGGACAGTGTTTTGAGTGCTGCTTTGAGAAATCCAGTTACTCGGTTGCAGGGTTAATAGTTATCTAGACTTAGAGCTTTATCTTACCTCTTGAAAAGCCTCCAGGGAGTGGATGAATCAGGTCTCCTAATTAAGCAAGCTAGAGGCTGCAGCAATATGGAAGTGGAACAGGTGACAAGAATGGTAGAAAATATCATGGCTTCTCTCACTGGCTGGGCCAGCAGGTGTTGACAGTCACATAAAGGTAGGGGTGGGAAAACCATCAGCTTTTCCTATTCTCACTTCTGACAGAAAGGGAATAAATAGAACAACTTATCTTTTATGTTTAAATATTGTTCCAGAAGAAAAATTTCATCAGATTCTGTTCCCAAGTGTGCCTTAAAAAGCAAAGAAAAAAAATAACCTAAAAAATAGAGCAAACATCTGTCTTCAATTGAAGTTAGAAGTTATTCTTCAGAAACAAAACAAAACCACTAACCCGTATTTTATTTTCTTTCTGACAAAATAAAATTATATTGGGCAAATTAATATTAGATTTAATAGACTTTCTGTGACATGGAAACAAAACTGAACTGATTTTATACTTAAGAAAATCACCATCACTCAGCAAATCCTGTTTATGCTGGGGAGGGAAAAAGTCTCTGCTTATGTTTTCAGACTCTGGCCAGTAGAGAATCTTGACTATTTTGCTCTAGAAATATTTACTAAAGCTGGGCTTTTTCATTTTATAGTTAGGAGAATAAGGGTTCTCTAGTTTGAAGTGATATCACATAATCAGAGTTAATAACAGAAACTGATGTGCAGCTTTTGTTATCCAGGTCTGTCAGCCTGTGGTCACCTTGTGTCTCAAATGTTTTTATAACATCTTTACTCAAAATCAGTTTCTTTTATTTGCTTCTTCACGCTTCTGAATATTTAGTTTCTTGATCAGAACTAGTTATGAGAACACTGATTGCAGGACTATGCAAATGATTTCTACATCTTCTAATGCTCACTTTGGTGTATTTGGTGTTGCCAAGTGTGTTTCAAAAAGTGATTGTGCAAAAAAAATCTTTTGTATGGGAAATTTCTGGTCTTTATGGTTGGTTTAAAAAAAATAAAGCACACACAAACGAAAAACCTGTGGAACCAGAAAGAATATAAGAAATCCACATGTGTTAAGCCAGTCTCATTATATTCTTTTTTAAATGTGATTGGAAGGGTCATAATCACTGATGCAGGTACTTCATAACATTGTAGTTGATGGTCTACTGTTAGGACCATTGCTCAGTTACTTTGCTACTTTAGGTTGAAATGGCTGATAAATTGTTCTTCCATTTTGCCTCACTCTTTGTTGCTGTAGCTGTACCCTCTCCTGGAAGTGCTTGCTGTTGTGTTTGACACTGCAGGTGGTTCCTGCTCCTCTTCCTCCTTGCCCCTGGATGTCACGGTGATCCTGGATGTCAGGATGAGACATTCTGGAGGGGCCCCTCCTACTTATGCTGTCTGGCCTCCAGCTCCCTGTCCCTCTGCTTCTTGCTCCTGCCTTCAGCTATCACCTAAGTTGGGTAGCCCATATCTCCATCTTAACGCACAGAACAGTTCTGTGGTGACACTCATTAATCAGTCAGTACCTTCAGACCTGAGACCATGCCCTGGCTGGGGAGGCAACCAGTTCTAGACATCCTTTGTGGATTCTGTGCTATGTTACCTCTATGACTAGTAAATTAAATGTGGTTGGGGAGAAAACTTCTGGGTTCTCTTCAATTTTCTTGGTATTAGAGGCAGCCCTGTTGTTTTCCTGAATTGAGTTCCTTAATTGTGAATAAAGTAACAATGTTTTCCGATTGTTTTTATTGTATTGTACTTAATACTGATAAGCCAGTGGAAAACTTATTCTAAAATATATAAAAGCGGAGTAAGTTAGCTGACCATTTGTAGTCATTTTGTTAAGTCTGAGATTCACAGATTACTCGTATCTAACTCAAGTTTTCTAAGGTTTATCTTCCTTTTAATTCTAAACCGGTTTATTTTCTCAACCCTCTCTTTAAACAGATGAAGCACGTAAAAGACAGATTTGGTGACAGCGTGCCAGAAGAAGTGCTTCTGCTGTGTCTGGGCATTACTTCAGGAGTTGGCAGATTGATTTTTGGCAGAGTTGCAGATTATATTCCTGGTGCAAAAAAAGTTTATTTACAGGTATGTCTTCACACTATTCTGAAGGAATATATAAACAATATTCTGAAAGCTTTGGTTGCAGGTACTATTAAGTAAGCAGAATTAACTGATTGGAGATTCAAATTTGAGAAATTTCAAAACTCTAGGAAACTTATGATTTTGATACTCTGAGCCTCTGGTGCAAAGTTCATAGATCTCAGATTTTTTTTTTCTTAATGCTAAGGGAACATGTCTACCATCTTGTCAAGGTTTAACCCCAGCTGACCACAGCTTTTCACTCACTCTCCCTGCCACCCCCCCATGCTGTCAGGAAGAGAAGGGAGAAAGGGGGGACAAAAAAAACCCCAAACAAACAACAACCCCCAAAAAAGGCCAAACAAAAAACACTCAAAAGAAGTTTAATAGAACAGTATTGAACGAAAAAGGAGGAAAAACTAATGATGATAATACTAAAAGAATCTGCAAAATGAAGTGAGGCAACAAAAATTGCTCTCACCACCTGAGGATCAGTTGCCTCGCCTGTCCCAAGCAGGGATTTGCAGATTCCTGCCCCCCTCCCCAGCCAACCCTCATTTATATACAGAGCATGACATCTATGGTGTGGAATATTCTTTGGAAACCAGGACATACCTGCTGGCTGTTTTCAGCTGGGAATGAAAGAAATTACTAATTGTTAGCATGTGAGCAAGAACCTTTGGGGATTCTCTGGATTCCGCTTTCCCCGTTTTATCCCATGATTTCATAATGATTGCAGAAAGATTAGGGTTTTTTTCCTATGTTCCTCTGTTAAGGGTTTTGGCTCTCTTTTCTTGATCTTTGATAGGTGATAATTTGGTGTCAAGTATGTTCTGTGCAAAGTGCACCCTGGTAAAGCCATGGGAATATAAGAGGTGTTTATCTGAGAAGATTTTGCTGAATTAAGGGAGTTATCTGCAGAAAGAATCACAGAAATGCTGAAGCCTGAAGATAGAGTATATACACTTTTTTCCCTCCACGCTTAAAAATACTATTTTTTAGGAAAGTAGCAGTGTTAGTGTCGATTTTTGGAAAAGCTTTAGTTAATACCGTGCATGGTATCAACCACAGGGTGTTCTTGTTTTGTTGTTTTAAAATGAGTAACAAGGGAGACATCTAATGGCTATTATTTGTACTACATCACTGAAAACATGTCTTGGGAAAGACTTTTCTGAAGATGGAGTGTTTTGTTGCCATATTTACATAACTTTAGATGTATCTCATGCATTTGCATTTGTTTAATACTTATTGTTACAGTTTTCCTTGAATAGCTAGAACTGAAAAGCATGGACTTCTGTTGAGGATGCTCCTGAGTAGTGTTGGTTTCACCTAGTTTTAAGCAGGAAAAACACGGTAATTTTTGCTAAGAGGGAAAGTGAATATTCACCTCAAGTATTATTCTGGATTGTCCAACAGTTCATACTGTCATCCTATCTCATGCAAAAATTATTTAAGAATTAATATTGACTAATACAAATGAAAACTCTTTCCTCTTAAAACTTTACTGTCTCATAATTGAACAACTTACAAAAGTTCTACCCAGCAAGTTCAAGCTTCATCTTTCTGTTTCTGCATTTTTTCTTTTGTACCTGTTTTGCTGGGTTTTGTTTTACAATTTCTATCTTTAGTAACATGATGATAAATCCTGTCTTTGGTAGAATGAGGCATTCTCTTGTGGATACAAAGTTTAGCGATTATGGTTTTAGTGCCTCTTTTACTAGAATATGAAAATACAAAGAATCTGGTCAACAATATCTTTGTAGTTTATCTACAGGTAAACGCATTAGTACTTAGATATAAACTAATCTCAAATAACATTTGTATTTTCTATATCAGAATACATAGAACTGAGAATTTTTTCACCTCTATCCTTAAGTTCCTACAAGAAGCCAAATTCTTTGGTTTCTGGTTCTATGCCGTACTTTAGGTACTTCACAACAATTTTTCTTTAATGTGCTAAATTAAGTATGTTATCTAGCAGAATTTTTATGCTGTCCTGAAAGTAAATTTTCATCTAGCTGTCTGCCTAATGACTTTTCCTATGAAGTAATTTATTTGTTGTCACTTATCTATCAAAAAATTGTGATATCTAGTAGTTCTTAAGTAACCTTGTGTTTCTTTAGTGGTCTACATTATGCATAATGACATAATATGCATATATGCATAAGGCATATGTCTTGTTTGGAAAATGTGCTTGTACAGTTAGGTGGGACATTAGTTTCCTATGCTGACATATGGATGGTGCACAAGCAAGACTCTTGCCTCTTTATTTTCGTCTTAATTCTGCTTAATTTTGCTGAAAGACAGTTTTATTCCTTTAACTTACAACAAACAAACAATACTAATCTAAGATTATAATATGATTTTTTTATAAGTAGGCCTGGCTATAGGAATATAACAAGATACCTTTATATGGAAAAAGTGAAATAAGACTTTCAAATACCGCCCTGTTGAATATAAGCGCCCTGAAGTAATTGCTCATAATACTGATATCTTTATTTAACTAGGCTCCCACTGTTGTAATTTATAGTCTTTTATCTGTATTAAACTTTTGATATTTTTGTGGCTTTCATTTGTGAAAAGAGCAGAGAGTAATTTTTCAAAAAGTGTTGGTGCTCAAGAAATGACCTTTGATATTTGATTACAAATGCATTTTGAAAACTGAAATGGGTAGTGGAATTTCTTTGTTTGCATGTCATGACAGTTATATGTTTGTTTTATGTTGGTATGTAACTTCTGATGGTGGTAATCCATGGAGACTGCTTATATTTATTTTAAAGTGAATACAGGCAGACAATTTAATTCACTACAAATGTGAGAAAGCTCATCTGTTCCCTTTATCTTTGCTGATTTGATGCAACATGTTTTTGGTATTTTTCTTCCCTTGGTCATGTTTAGGTGGCCTCATTCTTCTTTATTGGCCTGATGTCTATGATGATTCCACTGTGCCATGTCTTTGGAGGTCTCATTGCTGTCTGTCTCTTCATGGGCCTGTTTGATGGGTGCTTCATTTGCATTATGGCTCCTATTGCCTTTGAGCTTGTTGGGGCTCAGGATGTCTCCCAGGCCATAGGATTCCTACTAGGACTTATGTCAATACCTATGACAGTTGGTCCACCCATTGCAGGTAAGTATAGATATGGTCTGTAGTTATAAACATGTTTCTATGGCTGCATGACTTTTTGGCCATATTTTCTGTTCCCACATCGTATGTGATGTACTTACATTGGAATTTTTCTTGGTACGTGCTCCAGAATGTGGAATTTCCATCCCTGGAAACATTCAAAGTCAAGTTGGATGGGGGCTCTGAGCAACCTGATCTAGTTGAAGACACTCTTGCTCATTGAAGGGGATTTGGACTAGATGACCTTTAAAGGTCCCCTCCAGCCCAAATGATTCTATGGTTCATTATAAAGAACAAAAATTTAAAGCTAGAACAGCATAGACTAGGTGGTTTCTGATCTGGATACACTCAGTGATTAATACTTAATACAGAGTTTGCTGGGAGGAGATTGAGACAGCAGAGTGAATTGTTGGAAAAAACACTCATTAAAAAGAGACCACCAGGAATGCAAAACAAATGCAGTATATATAGAATAAGATTGAGACACCTTGATCAAAAGCAACTGTTACCAAAAGAGGGAGAATTTTTCCAACTCATCGCAAGATTCAAGTGCTGGAGAAGCTGAAATTAGCAACTTGCAAATAGGAAATATGGTATGTGTTTCTAATGATGGGTGGTAATTAGGCAGTTGGGCAGTGACATACTGAGTTCTTGGTTACTTGGAGTCTTTAAATTGACTCTGGAATACCTTTCTACCTATATGTACCTATATTTGGCTGTCAGGTAGTCAGATTAGTGGCTATAATAATCTTTGCCAGCTCTCAAGTTTCTGATTCCAAAGAAAAGACGTGTTTTCTGTCGATTCCGAGGCCCCATTATTTACCAGTTGTAACTTTCTGTCTTCCCAGGTTTGCTGCGTGATCACCTCGGCACCTACGATGTAGCGTTCTACCTGGCGGGCGTCCCTCCCCTCATTGGCGGAGCTATATTATGCGTCATCCCCTGGGTCCACGAACGGCAGAAGTTAAAAGAAAGAGCAAAACCTGTTGATGGAGAAACTACTGAGAAAATGCTGGAAAACGAGAACACTTTGGTGTTGGACACTACAGAAAAGTCAGTCAAAGAAATGGAATCTGGTGTTTGATGCCTTCTTTTCCTGTACCAGCCCAACCTTCTTCTACTTTTTGACTGGAGATGCTATATGATGCTGAAGAAGTTTTTGAACTATTACTCAAATTGCAAAACTGCTTGAAGAATCTTTTATACCATTGAACTTTTTTTGATGAGTCGCTGAATTTGATTTCAAGCCACATTTCCAAGGTATTTGAAGTTTTGTAGCATTAATACATGTGTAGTAATTCTGTGTGTGAAGAGAATATTTTTTTAATTCATCAGAACCTATTTCTGGGAGTGTGAAGCTGGTTTTGGTTCTGTGACCCAGGATTTTTCAATAATTTCCTGGTCCACCCAATGGAGGCACACCCGTGGGTGTTTATACTGGGAAATGTAGTATCTCTTATGACTGATTTGGTTTTTGAAGTTTCTTCTGCTGTTTTACAGTCTTTTACAATTCTATATCATGAACACAAATATGCATCTTCTTGATTCCATTAACTCTTGCTGAAATCATTGGAAAGCTAAATTATTAAACAGCTATTTTATTTTCTCTGAATACCCCAACCTGCTCAGTTTGCTTAAATACTCGCCTGTTTTTGCATTGATTCACCCTTTCACAGTAGCCGAACAAAGAACATTAAGGATGACATTTTTGATGGGCACAGGTTTTGAATATGTGCAAACTAAACTCCGTGTGCAAACACAGTCTGAAATAAAGCTGCTGAATGATAGATTATTTTTTTTAATTTCGTGAAGGCAATACTATTAGTGTATATGTGTATATTTTTTTTTCTGCAAAACCTCAGAATAGCTGATAGTTTTGAAATTGTGCTGTCAGTAATACTTCGGAGCAGTATTCTGGATTAGACTAAATTTCAAATTATTCTGTTGTACTTGTTAGGTTCTTTTTTTATTCTCAAAAACAAGACAGCTTTAAAGAATACATTCTAAGTGCAATAATAAGGTTTTAATGTGGAAATATATATGAGCTCTTAAAATGACATTCAACAACTAAAGTTTTTTGCACTAAGTGAACATGCAGGTTTATTACAGGTCTTTATAGCTGTGTTCAATTGTGTGTAGGTATAGCTCCATATTTTATTCAGATCTAAAGAGATGTCTTTGCATGTCCTATATTTCTTGCTTAACATACTACAGATGGCCCTATTATTTATGTATTTTTAGATATTATGCACTGTTTGTCAAGCAGGTATTTCTGAAAACCTTTTCTCTGAAAAATATTTAAAAGCATAATACTTTGAGATGAAAACACTGCTTTTTCAGTTATAAAACACTTCCGAGGACATTGTTTATTTGTGGATACGGATCCAGTGGAATACTTAAACGTTCTCTGCTTTGGGTCCATTCAATACCAATAATTTTTGTCATCTTGTTTAGAAGTGTCATAACAAAGAGTAAACTAAATGTAATCTGAAGAGAAAATTCACACTGAAGTGCATTTTCTTAATTAGTAACAATACCTGTTATTTACATAAACCACAGACACATACTGTTTTTAAAATTTATAACCTTCATTTTCTTTTCTATTTTTATTATTTTTCTTTCTCCAGATTTGTAGTAAACTGCTTAGAAAGCCCATGCACATTTGTGATATGGAACATCGTTAGCAATACTATTGCTTAGAATGTTTACATCTATCAACTTCCAAAAGTCCTTTAAATATAATCATGCAAAGCATCCTAATAATTGGAGACCAAAGCTCATACCTGTTTTTTATACTGCAGAATTTCAATCCTGCTTTACGTGAGTGAGGTTTAAAGGAATTGAATCTTAAAAGGTTAGAGGTCTATGGGAGGGACTTGCAGGAGGAAAAAAATAAATCTGTAAACCAGAGTTCCCTTTAGATTCACTGGAACTTGTGCTTCTGCACCTCAAATGCTTCTAAAAATGTCATTAAAATATTCATAGTATTGTTAATTAAACTGACTGCAAAATGCTGCCTTCATTACAAAAATGATGTTAACAGCTTATGCCGTTCTTGTCGGGAGTATTTCTGTAGAACATGTTATTCAGTATTATCTTCTGTTAGGGCAATGCAAAAGGTGTTGAGTAAGTGTGGTAAAAGCCTCTTGTTTCCTATTGCTTTGTCGTGAAAAATTAGTATTCATCACAGATCTTGTATTTTCTGTGTTTTAGCTTTGAGTTTTTAACCAAAAACAAGGCAGCTTTTTAGCACTGATGCAATTTGAAATCATTGTGACCAGACATCTTGATGTAATTGTGGCATCTTCCTGACTTATCTCTATAAATTATCTGGGAGAGAATATAAAATAATTGTTGTTAAGTTTTAGAAATGATAGAGAAATAGTATAACAATAGTATGAATTAATTATTGCTGTACCCTTTAAAAATGTATTTGTACATAAAAATCCAAATTCTCATATTTGAGTAACTAAAAATGTAAATTATGCTCACAAATATGAGGGACAGCATTTGAAAAAACCCACAAACCCCAGAGACTCTGGGAAGAGAGTATGATGAGTGAATAATTGTTTAGAAGTGATTACTATGTTAAGAACAGCTAGTAAATGGGATGTCAGAAAAGAGTTAAACAGAGTTAGGGGTAGGAAGTGATGCTGTGTGATGGTGTTGTAATAATGAACCTATTTCTGACGCCAGTGCTTGTTTTATAACAATACTAAAATTGAGAATGCTTCAGGAAAAAAAATCAGAATAGGCTTAAAAAAAAATTAAATTAATGCATGGGAATTCTTAGCATCTTTACTGTTAGCTCTTCATTGGACATAAGCATAAGAAGACTGTGTCCTAAAGCTAGGTAAGATGCAGTTGAAATGAAAGTAAAATTCAGATTGTTAGCGGTGAGGCTGGCTAACTATTGAGAAACTTATTTAGAGAGAGATTGATTCTTTATGCCCTGAGGTTTTAAAAATGAGGTTAGCTTGTCTCCCTTAAAAAAAAAAAACAAACACAAAAACCAAAACCCAACCCAAACCACAAAAAACCCAACACAAATAGAAACTACTTAGTACATGTATGAAAAACTGATTGAATAATGTAGAAATGGTTGCTATTCTAAAAACTAGAAGAGAAAATTCCTGGATAATTAATAATTAATTTTATTTTGACTGTGTAAATGTAAATAAATTTTTGTAACAATTTAAGTGTGAAAACCTGTTCAAGGGCCACCTGCTGAGCTCATATTTTGATGACTTAATTCATGCCAGATTTAATCTTCTTAGAGGTACTAGTTAGTACCTCTTAAAGTACTAGTTTAGTTCAAGAAAACCCTTAAGTATTTCAGACATATCCCTCCCTTGAGAACAGTCCATAGAGTGCTTTACATTGCTCTCCTGTCCTATAAACTGAGTAATCATCTCTTTTCCATTAAGTGTTCTCAGGGTAAGCTTCAGAAGAAATTGAGTAGAAAGAGGTTCACTTAAAATGGCAGTGTGAAATTTCCAGTCCTATTTGATGCTTTAATTTAATACACCTGATCTTGAAACCAAGCCTAATTTTGAGCAAGGGGTTGGTTTTATGTATGGCTGACACTTAGGTCTTTTCAGTAGGTGTGAGATCCCTGTAGATCTTGATGTATCTTTTCAGCAAAGACTCCTAAATAATGAAATGCTTCAGGTTCTTAGTTACATCTAAGCTATGCAACAATATACAATGTAAACTTAACGTAAAATTATTGTTGGATATATTCTGACTACATGTTAAAGGACCTGTACAAGTCTCAAAAAAGACTTCAAATCAACATCCTCTTAGTCAGAATTTCTTTCATCCGGATCTTTGTCTGTTCAGCATTAACACATTTTTTTTTCTGAGTTTACTTTCAGTGGCCATTCATGGACCTTCCTAAATTGCTCACTCAAGTCAAAGATGACGGAGCCATTCCGTGGCCATCCCTCAGGGTATACACAGTATCAGATGAGGTAGACAACTGACATTTTTCTCCTTTAGCTCTTCATGTGTGATGTCTGGGTGTGTACATTCCCCCCTTCCCTTTGGAGACACTGGATTGTCAAAGCTGATGCACACCGTGTACTTCTCAGCCTTCCTTTCTCGGACTCCCCCTCTGCGTTAAACCTCTGAATAGCCTGACAGAGGAGGCAAGTTTTTCTGAAGTGGGAGATGTGAGGTTGAATCAACTCACAGAGCGCCAAAGGCAGTTCTCACACACGCCAGATGAATGCTTTATCACACGCTTTGTGATGTTAAAAACGGATACTACCTACTCAAAGCAAGAATGCTTATTTGTATCAGGGAGTAGATGCCAAAGGGATGGGAGGTGCTTCCTTGCAGCCCCAAAACAAGTATCTAAGGTTGGGAATCAAGCTTACAGGTTGATTTAGCAGCCTGGTTCTCGCTGTGCTGGCACGGGGCTGCTCCCTGCTTTTGCTCCTTGCCTGTCCTCCCCAAGCAGGGAGCAGAGGCACTGCCTTGATCGGGTTCCCCTCTGGGGAGCTGGAAGTGTTACGGAAACCAACTTTCAGGCATCTTAACTCTTCTGTTGGAACTGACCCTCCGGTAGGAAAAGTGTGTGTGTGTGTATAGGTATATATAAATACAATGTATTTTGAGCAGGGCATACACAAACATTCTGCCTTTAACTACAGGAGCTGTAGCACCTGCGTGTGGGAGGCAGCTGAGGAAGAAGTAATTACTTTCCTTTGTGTGTTTCACTGTTGACAAGCAGAGCACCATTTCAGTTCCAGACTTGGCGTACTTTCAGTATGCCTTTTAGTCTTATACCTATTGCGTCAGCATTAAAAATGTTTCAGAAGGCGTATGCTAAGATTAGAGTGATTCTATACTAAAATGTGTGCTAATATTGACAACACTGACATGTTTGAGTATCTTTATAGACACCATATTTTGTATGTTGTTTTTGATATTAAAGGATATACATTTTGCTAGCCTTAACTCCATTCTTTAAAGTTCTGCTTTGTTAGAAGGGTAAGAAATGAATGTCCAATGTTTTCCATGGTGCTAAAGTAACTGTGATCAGTCTCAAATTACTCAGAATAAAGATGGTAGTTCTCAAGTGCCCAATTCGTTACTGCATGCATCATTTCTAGTCTTGTTCTTCTGTAAAACTTACCACTTTTTTAAAAGTAATTTTGTTATATTCTGATAACTATTGAATCTCATGTGCAGACTCTTGTATAAAAGTCTTTACAGCTTTTATTATCACTCTGCTCTAGTTGGAATGTCCCCATTACATTTGCTCCTAAATTAATACATGGTGCAACCCATTTCATTCTGATTGCATTGATGTTCCGTTTTAAGACCAATGGTTTACAAACCTAAACTACTGACTTTTGAGTTACGTGCTTCTGAAAATTTTAACTCTTCTTACTTTCCATTCTGGGGTTTAATATCAAACTTAAGGAACAGTTGCATTCACAAAAGGCAGAAGTGAAGTTGAGAGAGGGAAATACATGTTGGAATAAACTTGAGTGGCATTTTAAAAGAACTCTATATTGTTTGCTTCATGAACTGCCAGTGTAATTCAGTGGACCTTTGATCATTTGCTGGCCTGTGGCCAACTTCACCTTGACTTACCTTGGCAGTACGAAGTGTTTCCTTATTGACAGCTTTAGTAAATCACAGGACTTCATTCACCTTTCCTTTGATAGTAGGGCCAAATAGTTCTTTTTCTTTAATAAACATACCTGATAAGGGGGAGATGTTCTCGTTCCACCTGGGGTTATTCTCTAGAATGCTTGTATTTTGTATTAAAATTTGAAAAAGATGCCCCAAACCTTTGTAAAAGCCTGAGTGCTGTTACCGTTTGTATACCCTCAAGGGACAAAACCTCTTGGTAAGTAAGTAAAACAAAAATGAGGAGGAGCCTATGGAATACATTTCAAATACTTTTGTACCTTTTTCAGGAAGCTGTTTTTATACTAGCTTTTATCATGAAAGCTAATTAACAGGGCAAAATACTAACATCTAGAAATATGGGTTGACTTTATATGATTTTCATAAAAGGAATACTGTTGTTTTATATATGAAATTAGTTTATTTGGAATACTGTACCAATGTCCTTATGAACAGCAGCTCAGCAGCGTGCTGCAGATATCTATCTGATAGACTTGGCACTCCTTGCAAAGGTATTAATGTGGAACAATCAGATTTAAATACTATCTTTCATGGTTGTTCATTGTAGTTTGATTTTTTTTTTTTAAATGTATACATCCATTCCCTCAGGTTATCCTGGAACTGGAGCTGTTCCTGCAATGTGCTAACCAATGCCAGGAGAAAGAAGGTTAGGTTGCTGCAATCTACATGCATCTTTTGAGCGTCTCAGCAAATGAAACAAAAAATATCCACTTTGGTGTTAACTTTGAGTCGTTTGTTGTGAGGCTTAAAAACAAGTATGCTGAAAGTTAAAGCCTGTCTTGCAGAGTAGCAGCTCTGTGCTGAACAGCCATAATGAAGTGAAGTGTTCTGAAAAGCTTGTGAAACAGCTCCTGTAGTAGGAATTTATAGAAGAGTGTTTCCATATAACCCTATTGTGTGTCTTGGCAAGCTTTGTATCTGTGACATGACACAGGCACTGCAGAAGACAAAGGCTTTTTATGCACAGTACAGTGCAGTTTGAGTTATGGGGGAACACAGGTGTTTGAAGAAGGAAAAAAAAAAAAGACAAAAAAAAACCCACCAAAAACTGTCAACCAACAAAAAAAACCCAACAAACCATCACCCAAAAAACCCTAAACCAAAAAAAGGCACTTGCTTTGTGGCTACAAGGAGTACTACTTACAAAAGGACTTCTTAAATAATTGAATTTTTTTTTAGATCTATTTTAAAAACTTGATTATTATAGCTTAGTTCAGGGAGGCCTGCATCTAACCTCCCCTTTCTGGTTTAATTCGGTGGCCGCTCAATTTTATCCTGAAAGCAGGTGTTAATTGCACTTAACCACCCGGGCCGCCGGCAGGCCTTGGAAAACTGTCCGAAATTAGTTAAAACTGGTGCTGGGCGACGCCGACCCGCCGCCATCTTCCGCACGGGCCCGTCTCCATAGCAACGGCCGCGGGCGGGGCCTCCGGCGGCGCGGAGCACGCCGGGAGCTGTAGTCCGTCCCTCCCTCCGCGCCGCTGTGCGTGAGGGCGGGGCCATGGTCCCGCGAGCCGCAGCGGCCGTGGGTGCCGGTGCCGGGTGGTGAGGAGCCATGGCCGGCGCCGAGCGGAAGAAGCACGTCCGGTTCGCCGCACCGGGGGAAGCGGCG